AATAAATATACGCGTAAATAAGCGCTATGCAGCAGTAGAGTAGAGGGAAATGGTGGTTTAAGGACCAAAGTGCCCATTCCAAGATTTGCATGCAGTAAATAAAGTTGAAATTCTCCTTTGTAATTTATTATTCATTTCATTGGAACAAGATCCAGCGAGCTTTTTTCCTTCCATTTCATTAGCTAAAATTAAATTTTATACGCACCATGTTGATGTCAACGGTTCCACTGTGGACAACAGGACATGGATCGGTTGGTTACTCTTTAATGAAATAAAGGAGTGCATGGTGGCAGTAAACTCTCCAGCAGTAAATTGTAGACCTAATCCCTCATTAAAACTTTCACATTCAATTACAAGCGTGGTTGGTGATATTATATCAGCAAAAGTAGAGTTGAAAGTTTATGCCTCAAAACCCCAAAGCGACGAAAAAAAACTTTTAGTTTTAAAAGAATGTTATGAGAAATTCCAGTGTCCTTTACACAAGTTGTTTAATAAGGAAATGAGTGCATATTACTTACCACTAACCTAATTTGGTTCTCTTTCCCCTTGTTTACTGTCTACTATTTGACTCGGAAGACTCGATGTTCCATTCTGTGACAGCGGAAGAGATCCGTATGTTAGCCATCCCGCTGCGCTTTTGTAACTTTTCGAACTTGGAACTATATTTTGACACATGAAATGTGTCGTTTTTGCTCGCCATTCTTTTCCAAGTCAAGTTCATCGAGAAACCGAAAGCCAGTGTTCGTTCCGTACACCAGCATTAATTTAGTTCACGGCTAGAAATAGAATGTATGATGATCTTATTATATATCGAGTCAAGTTCATTGTTGCCACCTTCCAAAGCAGCTTTTCCTTTTTGATAATGCATGGCTACAGCACTTCGTATTTTGCGACCTTCTATACATAGACCTAATTTCACCATTAGTTTCCGGTAAAAGTGCCAGGCTTGTCTTTTCTGCTTTGCCTTTATTATTAGGCTCTTAGCTAACAGGGTAATTAATTGTACCCATCAACATGCTTATAAATGCGTGTACATAATCACCGAGGAAGAACCTCGAAGGATACATGGCAATATATTGTTAGACCAAATAGATAGCTTCCAAGAAAAAAAAGTGCAAATTTAGAGTTTAATGTCTGACAACGCGATTTCCATTCATAACCTCTAATTAACGACTTCTTTGAAGTCTCAACTATCTGATTGATCTAAAAATGTTTTCAATGCTTAGATCATTATTCTCAGCGAAAACATATTCAGAAATCTGAAGGACTGCAAAAAATTGGCCGGGATACATATATGTATGTGTGCTTAGGATTAGTTTAATTGGGTGAATAGATTTATAAAATAAAACGTACTAATTAACCACAAAGATTCAGTACATTTTGTTTATCGTGAAAAGCAATACTTGTTTACAGCAAAACTTTTAAAAATACTTAGGCTTGTTTGTCTTCTTAATTATAAGAGCATTGCGATATCAACGTGTGTCTATCCTGAGAAATGTTTGTGCTCATTAAATATTCGGTAACATTTCATATTGGTATAAAGAGAAAAATACGTGGTATCAGAGAAGGAATGGTTTTCACTTGTATAAATAATTCAAAGAATAACAGACGTGAAAACGACAAAACTTTCTCTTTGTGCAAAAACAATCGTTATGCCTGGGACATAATTAAAGTTTGGAATTTTGAAACCGGATATCGAGAGAGATACAGCGACCGACATCAACCACCACCCCATTATTCCTCGTAATAAACTCCAACCAAGTTTTAGTTTACAGCTTTGCGCTATCCTATGCCCTGCTGCTCGTGGTGATTGCAAAACAGTGGAGCCGTTAATGTCTCAAGTCTCCATTTAAGTATGTGGTGCGTTAGTTTTTCTTGTGTGAAACTGCCACAAAGCCATCCATTTCAGAGGAACTCACTCTCTGTCCCTCTATCAACTTATCTCCAATCTAGACGCTCTAGAACCCACACCCTGCTCTGCTTTCCCTCCAGTTCGTTCCTTGGAATAGCAAAGTTTATAAGCTTATTTTATGGAGAAAATTTACGACTTAAATATCATCGGTTTCCTCCATTTTGTGCTTTCACCAGCTTTCACTTTCCCATATTATTATTTCAAACTAAATTATTGTTCTCTCTCTCTCTCCTTCTCGCTGCTGCCCTCAGAAACAAGCAAAATGAAGCCAACATTTCACTGGGATGTGAGATGGGAAGCAATGTAAATGGATGGAGGCTATATGTATGTGCGTACCTCCTCTTCTGGCCTCGGGACATTTACTTGTGCTTGATCCAGTTGCAAAGATGTTATGTCCTCACTATAGTTGAATTCATTAACCATATTGCTTCCACCCAGTTGCTGATTTTGCCTTATAAAACATTTCTTTGGGAACAGAGTTCCCTTTTCACCTTCTTCTTCTCTGGTGGCTGCCTGTGTGGCTTGCGGGGTTCAGAATCCATCTAATTTATTTTGAACGTTAATAAACCAACCGCTTTGGCTTTGGCTTTGGCTGCTTTTCTTCGAATAGATCAGAAAAATGTGGGATACAAATATAGTCCGCCCTCACCACTTCTTTTTTGAGATGAAAGTTGTTAAGTGCGTACCTATTGCGGATTTTATTATTCATACTCATGGCCTACTAGCACGGACGGATGGATATTTGGCCTGTATGAAGTTAGGAGTTTGTTACCCGCGGCCTGATACCCTTACAGGAAGAGATAACTGCGAGGAGATAATATGTAGTGCACAATGGTGGGTGCTGTGCATCTCATGTAACCATAATTCGACTCGTATTATACGTACGAGTCGGGTTTGGGAGCGCAGACAGTTTGCTTGCTTGCAGTTAATGAATTTTTTAACTGACATTAAATTTATTTTATGACCCTTGAATGAGCAATTAAATGTTTGCTAACTGAATACATCATTTCCCTAACCGCCCTTTTCCGTGAAGCTAATAATGTGAGATGCATAATGAAATAATGATTTTGGTCATTAGTTTTTCCTCCTCGTGTGGCATGCCTGCTGTCGAGTTTACCAAATCGTGCATTTCATACGCCGATGATGTGAGAACGTGAGGAGCAGACAGTACATGCATACATACGTTCACTGGTTAACTTTATATATTTTATCCCCACATTCCAAGCCCCCTCGAATTCCGACAAATTTAGGAGTTGCTGACAAGCAGAGCCGGACTTCAACAAGTTTATATTCAGTTAAACAGGAGGCATGCCAGATATTAAAAACTTATATTTAATGCAAATAAAATCTCACTTTGGAAATAAAGTTTTCCTTGCTCCGTTAGCCGCCCAGTCAGCTTAGTTCCTCATCTCACGAAAGAACTTTATCAGGAGGATCCAACTTTGCATATTATAATTTTTATTGCACAGAATGGTACGTCTGGCTTTGTACTTATTCATTCAATACGAGCTAACCAGCTGCACAGAAGCATGCCGATATTGGATCTAGATTCAGAGTGACGTAAAACTTATGTAAGTCCGCTCTGGATAGTCCCCAGCAGGAGCAAATAAAAGTAGCAAAATGTGCAATCTTATTCATCTGTCAACTTGTCCGTGTCCATGTCCATCCACACAAACCAGTAATGCAATGGATCAAGGACAGAAAAAAAGAGATAAAGGGTGGCTGCGTGGACGGAGGTGTGTGGTATATTCTGAAACTTGTCGGTCGACAAATCCTTGGGACAGAATAAACCCTACATGACTCTGACTCTGGAACGGGGAGCAGAACTCCCAGAATTTTGATAAGTGCAGTGATAACTGACATGATATGAAACTGATATAGGAATGAAAAATCTAAACGAGAAGTGCTATCGGTCTGTCCGGTTGACAGGGAGCAAACTTGACATCCGACACCCTGCTACTACTCGTCTCAATCTCTTCTACAAAGCTGTGGATGCGAAGACCATGTACAACTGAATATTGGATTACACATGAATGGTCAGTAGTGGCCACCTTTCACGAACAACTCTTTTTTTCCGTGCCAATCCACCACTGCGTGCGCTTTCATGAGGTGCAAAGAGTAGCAAGCAGTGCCACCTTAGACAACCGAATTATTGCCAACCAGAGCCTACTTACATCCGTGTCTATTGGTACACAGAGTTTCATACTTTCTCCACGGAGCCCAGTCCAGATCTCAACATACAACCCGCCTAGCAAAGATTTGGCAGGCTGCACACCTACCTGATACATACATAGTACACATGTATAAGAAGACTGCCAATACGAGATGTCATGTCGTAATGTACTCGGACAAAAATTTCTTGTTTCATAACTTGCACTCTTTATTTAAAGTAAAAATACAGAGTTTTTGTGAACATTTATTATATAACACCAATCATATTTTCCACCTTGTGCGTGAAATTGGAATTATAGTAGTATATTTTATCTTTTATATTCAAATTGTGAATATTATTGTAGCAGTTTTGCCAATTGTGCCAGAATATGAGATCAGATGGATTTCTCATGATTTGAATTCTTCATCCCTAGATTCTATTCATCCCTGAATATATTTACAGGTTGTGTACAATCTAATAAACATTGGAGAATGCAGGACAAATACTTGAGTATAAGTGCAATTAACCTAAGGTAAATAATACGCTTAACAAGTAATGTTGTAGGTACCTATATTTTAGCTTATCAAAAAGGTTCTGCCTCTTAGGTTAAAGATAATCCTGCATTTTGAGGTCATTCGAACCAGACTCCTCTCATTCTGAAAATATTTTTGCGTCGATGCACATTAATACGTAATATCAATGCCTATTATTTCCTATCCAGGAGTGTATTGAAATCGGTATTAGGAATGGGCCGGGATGGAGCAAGTGCTCAATCGGAGTGAAATTGAGCTGCCCAATAACATGAGCGAAGGAAAAACGAGGGGGAAAGAGGCGTCGTTTTGTTGGAAGGAAAAGCTAGCAGCCAAATGCCCAAACTCTTCTCTATAAATCTCATCTTGACTCCAACTCTGCTTCAGTTCGAGTTCCAAGGTTTGCCAGGACGCTCCATGAGTTCACGCTCTCAAACGCTCCGTTTCTCAGACCACTCATTCACAACCACTCATACTTTCTCTCTGTCTCGGCATTGTTTACATAATAAAACACAGAAATCAATGTCATCACCTGAAGCTGTCAAAGTTTTAAAAATAGACTTTTATAGATCTATGTCAATCATCTATTGAGCGTAAACTAGTGTACTTTCACCAAGCTGGAAGACTTGCTCAACCCCTCTGAACTATAATACCATGCAGATGCATTAATTTTAATAGTGCGTAAATCAAAGCAAGGTTAAAGACCGCAGACATAATTAACCACACGCGGTGGTTAGTTGACACGGCAGGAATCCAAGCCACGAGCTCACGGGGGTAATTGTAAACGACAGGAGAGGAAGGAGTATATCTCAAGGTGTGAGTGAAAGTGAAGTGACTGAGAACAAATGCAAATTGGCCCCATCTTCCTATAACTAAGGCCAAATAACACGGGAAAAATTGGTTCCAAGGATAGTATTCAAAGTGGAGAAAAATTGAGTTGACACTTTATATTTATCTCTTATTACATACATAAAATAAATCACTAGAAATCACTTAGTCTACTAAATACCTTTACGTTCTTCAGTGTATTTTATCAATCGATTATCAAATCTGTACCCCATTGCTTCGGTAATTAGTCAATCTAACCAGTGAGAAGCCAGTGTGAATATAAATAAGCGTTGAATCCACGAAGCCACCTATTTTGTCAGAGTAAGTGATCATGCACTGATTATTTTTAAAAAAACGAGGAAATAGTAAAGATATCATCGCCTTATGAGCAAATAAAAATGAGAGATTTATTCATCACTTGAAGTATAAATAAGTCTTCATCCCCCTTTTGCAGTCTCAAATCTGTGTAGTCCTCCCTCTAGAAACCTTTTACTCTGAAACTCACACCCATATCCACCCTACGACGAGCAACCTACATATTTAACAAACCGTACATGCATATCAATACGTACTTACGCACATGTAGGTAGTTCTTTAGAAAGTCAATTGAATTAAACTAAGTACGAAAGTACATGGCAAATTAACAATTGAATCATTAATTTAAGCGAATATTGAAAGAATGCTTGCTGTAGAAAAAATTGCAAAGGACCAGCGTTGCATTCAAAATTGCCATTAATAATTTGTTCTCCTGGAGTGCAATTTCCATTCGAAGGTTTAATTGCATTTTTGGGAGAGAAGAGGACAGAATGTATACCGTTTTATATGAGAGTAATAGTCATCTGTTCAAATCTCACTTAACGAGTAGTTTTGCATCTTGATTTTTAGAAGAATCAGAAACGACGACCCTTCAAAGAACAAAGTAAAGTCTCCGATTCCCTGTCTCTCGTGTGACACTTTTGAATTTAAGCCAACTTGCTTGTCGAAATCTCTTTGCAGACTTTTCCCAATTTCGGAGTCAACGAATATATTACCAAAAGATAGGCATTTGACGCATCTGCCTGCCTGCATCTCCCTCCGCTCCTATATACCATAATTTTACATGCATGCATGAAACACAAGTTTGGAACATATATATTAGAATTTGCGCATTTTCGTCTTGTCTTGTTTGCACAAAGTGACATTTAGTAGACCATATTTGGGCTAAATCTGTCGCACACAGGAAACATAATATTGCTTCTATTTACATCCATCTATCTTTTATTAAAATTGCATATTTTGGTCAACGTTTAATACGTCTTAAAACTATTTCTTTTTCATACGTATCAGACATATATCAGTATAGTGTTCATAATTATATGTAGTACTTGTAAAATTGAACATGAAAATAGTAATTGGGCCAATTTTCTTTCCGACTGTTTCTTGGTGCATTAAATTAAAAAAAAACATTATCAACTTTTGGAACCCCTCAAGATTTAAATTCTCTTTTAGCATAGTTAAGAGTAGGGTAGATTAATAAATGCTGAGACATGGTGTTTGATGATGCTTGCATTTTCAAAGTGCAATTAAAATGTACAAGTACAATTAAAATAAGTACAAGTAGAAATGTTCATTATCCAAATTGGCGGAGAATCAGTAATTGTGATTCCTTCATTCATGGTCCAGCAGCAGTGGTTCCACTAGACAAATCAGGAACTAACCAAGTCCTAGCAGTGCTCCAAACCTGCTCAGGAGTGAATTAGGGGTTGTTGCGCCATATATATCAATTCATCTACTGTTAAACTTCAAACAACCCCGAAAATTCTAAGGGTTCTTTTTTCTCTCAAGTTTTGGCCTGAAAAGAGTTTGTTTAATGTCGGTCATTTGTCTGTCTTTTTTCTTAGAAACACGAGAACAAGAAAAATCATGAAAGACTAAAATGTCCATTATATTCTGTCCACAGGAGGAGGAGAATGAGTGGCGTTGTGGACTTTCTCCATGCTACACGTTAAAAACTAGAAACTCGAATAAAGTGCTAGCCAGCCAGCCAAGCATCTGAAGAGTGCAACTTTGTCTTGCGGAAAATAGGAGTCTTCTGCTCGGAGAAAGTTGAGACTCCAGTGGACGTCGAGGGTGCATGTATAAAGAGACCAAGAAGTTAAGGAGACAAGCTCCGAGAAATAAATTGTAGCGAAGACCGGGTTGAAACCAGGAGCCAGGAAACCTCAAAAAGGAAGTCAAGTACTCTCTGTTCTTCTTTATGCAGTCGAATATGAGCGTGCGATATAGTGAGTCTTCTGATATTTGAGAAAAATCTGGCGAGTTCAGTGGTGCAAGTTGACGATTTCCCTCAAAAAGTCTAAAAAACTCAAGACGGATCTTTATCTGACACTGGGTACACATATACCGTGAACAAAAGTGAAAGTCCCGAACTATAAAGTTTTACCAGCGCTTAGAGTGGAGACTTTTGTTTGAATTAAAAATTAGGAAAGTAAAGTAGAAACTTTAAACACCAACAAAGTTTTTTCTTCAAATGTTGCCACCCAGCGCTAACAGAAAAGCTCTCCCTCAAAAGCATAATATTTGCTAAAAGGCAAAAAGCTGCTGCGAGTGAAAGTTGCACCGAACGCGGTTTTTAGAGAGCTTGTGGTCTGCTATGTCATGTTGATTGTTAATGTTTACTGAGCCTATCGCGTAACCGCTACTACGACCAACCGTATGTGCCACATTGTTGGCCAAAAGTTCGCATACGCTACTTAAAAAACTTGTTTGGCGTTTGGAGTGGGCGAGGATTTAAAGTTGACGAGAGCCACCTATCCCGAATGTAAGTTGTGTAATATTGTATGTTTGTACTTGGGTGTTGAAGCTGGAAAATGACGATCATCATACATACACTTTTGCACTCGGAGTAAATTAAAAGTTGAGTTGCATGATGTGAACGAAAGCAGGTCAAACTAGATTCCACGGTATACATATTTGTAAATATATGCTTCCTTGTTGCATTACATGCCAGAGACTACACCAATTTTCTCACCCAAGTTTGTCAAATTCAAAACACACCATTTTCGAAATCCTGGCGTTACACCAGATCTATTGCAGCAGTTATTTAATATGTAGTAACTATACACATGTAGAATAATTACAGGTACAGCCAATTTCAAAATTCAAAGTTGAGTACATTTTTTATTTGCCTTGTCCACCAACAATTCAACTTTAGTCACTTTTGGTTTCAATAAAATAAAGCTTTGTAGGCTAAGCCGTTTCGGAACTGTAAATTAATCCGATTTCTGCCATCGTAAGTCACTCTAATGCAAAGTCTCACAAAGTCTGCCTTTGTTTTGAATCTAAACAGATTGTTTGCCATAAGTCCTTCCACTTCCCACGGACTCGCAGATTTCCTCATTCCTCAACTGAGTACTCTTCCAATAATTAAATTCGTTTGCAATTACTAACTTTACGACCTTCATCCAACTTTGTGACTCTCCTGGTCGTCCACCTCTTACGTAAATTCCGGTGAAGTGGAACGGGAGGATCGGTACGTTGCGAAGAAATTTAATCTGACTCCCGTGTCGCTTAATTATCACCTGCAGCCATTTCCGCAGACCAATCGAATATCCTTGAGTTCTATTTAATCAGACTCTACATAAGTCTCCACCGAGGGAAAGTGAGGAAAGGTGTGACGGTGTGACTTTCTGAACCCTTAATCTTCTCCTTTCACGACGACGACGACGACGACAACGGTACCATTGACTAATTTGAATACATTCTTGAAAATCCTGTCACCTGCAAGTTGGAAAATTAAGCAAGATCAGTGAATAAACATGTGATGAGTTACATTGCAATCGAAAGGGGTTAAAAATTAGGGCACGTACAATTACACAGCCGTGTAAAACTAAATAACCAGATAAAATACTGGGTTCGGCTCGTTTCCCTAACCCCACAAGAGTCTAAAACTTCGATTTCTTGACTCTCTGCCTCCTTGCGTCATTAGCAACTCCCAGTGCACAAATCAGTAATTAGTTCGTTAGGAGTTTTCATCCATCACTCTCTGAATCTATAGATTGCGAGTCTACAGACTCTCCCACGACTACCAACCACCTCCTCCGTCAAAAATATCACTTTGACGAGTTTTGTAGTTAAATCAAAGTCAAGTCAAAAAGTGCTGACTGGCAGTTGAGTGGTGGCGAACACAAACAGAAGTTGGAAGAACAGCAAAATGACTGGATCTCGGAGTTTCCTCATTTTTCTATGCATCCTGATGGAGATTGTGCTCTACGGTAAGCCAACCTACTCTTTTTCTCCCACAACTTATGTACTCATCCATCCATACGTACGCAACGCAACCCACACATTGATGCAGCTCATGTACGTGAATTTAGATTATTTTGGCTGACAAATCTCATGCCAAATGTGCTAATGACGGACTATCACGATAAAGAGAAAGTTGAAGCTTATTAATTAAATGAATCTTCATTACACGACTGCGTGGGTATAGCACGAGAAAGTTACAGCCATCAAATAGAATTTAAGCCACGGACGATAAAATGTGCATTTTATCTCCTTTTCAACGCCAACTCAACGAGACCATGTACATACACTTACTTATGATGGGGTTGCCTTTCAACATTTGGCCTGCCAGCACGACTAGCGAGGAGGAATATTATGCAACGGGGTCTGGACTGCACCGCCATCCATTATCCGTATTCTTGCTTTTATCCAGCAGACCTCCCATAATAATGACTCCGAGTACTAACAAGCCATGTCAAAACTCGTTGAGAGATCTCACTTTTCAAAAGATCTTCTTATTTGTTATTTTATTTCTCGGTGAATTGAGTGCAAGTTGTAAAGTAAGCGAGATCTGAAAGCAGATCTTTTGTTTACCTTCCATCCGCGTGGAACTGCTGTAGTAAACTAAATCGCTTCTTCCACTTCTTTTCATGAACATCATCAAATCCTACCAAAATTTTACAAACAAAAGGACGAGAGAATTCCAGAGCTGAAATTCAGCAGGATTTAGAGAAGGGCATTTAACGCACTGCCTTAATTACTCGAGGAATGCAAACAAAGTCCAACTTCTTGGAGACTTGGTCATAATGGGGCCATAGTAATTTCATAATGCTCTAAATTATACTGCACTGAAGCAAGTGGTGGTGTACGAGGCTTGGTGCGTGTATATTTTTCGGCTCACTATAGTTGACGGGTCATAATAATAAAACAGCGAGCATTTGCTTATAAGTTTACCTATAAGTTTTCTCCCTCTTTGAAACACACTTTGTGCCGTGCACTTCAAGCAGGCGTGAACTTGGCCTCAAGCTTAATCGTACTCTGGGAAATTCTGAACCCTTGAACTAATGCTTCATTCACATGGGAAATCCAAAACCTGGTTCACCATTATTTTACTCAGTCAGTTATTTTGCATCACATCATCGCCAGCATCAGCTCACTCACGGTTCAACAACGCATTCAAAATCTGGAAATCTCGCATAAGCCGAGTCCAGAGTTCCTTCGGCAATTGTAGTATTTAGTAGAGAGCAATAAAACACAATGCTGATCATAACGTTACTAAAAAGGTTGTGATATGAAATGCATAAAGATTCATCATTATAATAGATTTCTGACTTTGTACCTAAAAAAATTCTTGTCTTTTTGTCTAAATCAATAGCAGAAAAATAAACTGAACTCTGGGAAAAATCTGCATTCGAATATTTGCTTGTGCACGTGTGCCGTGTCGACTTTACTATTTGTCTAAATGTCTCAGCTCAACATTGATGTGTTGTCATAATGGATGCAAAAGTAGACTCAAACTCCGTTACCATCCTTTATTTGCAAGAGTGTCAAAACAATTCAGATGTCACACGTCTGGATGTTAAATTCTAATTGATACGGAAAAGAGGATGACATATTTCAGCAACTTTAACTAATGTACATATACACTCAACAGTTCCATAAGTGCTCTGAAATTTCATCTTAGAAAACCGATGGTCTCTGACTATTTGAATTTTAAATGCAAAATTACCAACGCGTGTTACCTGCCTAATCGAGTGGGTGGTGAGCGAGTAAAGTGGTTATCACCATGAAAGTAAATAAATGATTAATATTTACATTTCGTACTTCAAATGAACCACCAAATCCACATATTACGTTAACAATATACTCCACTTGAAATTAATGCCATAATTGGGATTCATAAAATATGCATACACACATACGACCACTTTTGACTAGCATTGTGCATACGTAAAACTCCTCGGTTAGTTACATGAAAGTAAATACATGGGTATAAATGACTATAGATTTCCCTAATTCTACGTGTTGGGAAATATAAATCATTGCGGGCGTGTTACTATTAGCTTATGCCTAGCTACAAGGGATGTGGTAATTTTAATGTGTCAAAAGTACCCTCTCATAAATTATGAGAAGTTGGCGATCCTAATTACCTATTAAGCTCCATTATTAGTTTCCTTTTATGAAACAAACAAACATGAAAGATAATGAACCTTGTTTACTACTCCCCTTCAAATTGCTCCAGTATGCATAGTTTACCTTCATAACCACCATCCAGCATATTTATCAAAATAAACTGAAAATGAACACCCATAAAAACCATAAAGAATCGAATTGAGCACCAGGACACGTGTGCAAATAAACACATTACAGTAAAATACTAATAACCCCGTCCATTTACCTTTATAAACACAAGGTGAAGAATCTAATTTATCCGCTGTAGATTTTAAATCATGGAAGGATGAAATATAATTTTCAGCAGGAATATCTTATTTTCCTCGAATTCTCCTTCTCCGAGTAGACATGTGTATTAAAAAGATTGCCAAAATGATGAGGGCGATGAGTAGCTCAAAGCCGTTGTGCTGAAGATTATTAGAAATTGAAAATGCATGGCGTGCGTCTTGCCTGGTTTCAGAACGATACACGGGTTCGAGTAATGAGATTGAGATTACCATTACCTGGAAGAAGAAGTTGAGAGGTCGTAAATCTACGTCGTCCCTTGAACGACGGAGCACCACGTTCATTGGGATGGGAACTAGACAATGCAGCCCGAGAGCAGCTTTCTACTTCATCAAATGGATTCATGTATTTGATCCCGGCTCAATTTTCCTTTCTTGGTCAAAACTCCAGGTCAATGGCGTCTTTCTTTGAAAAGTGAACTTCCTTCCCCAATCCAACTACAATTTACTGAGCAAATAACCCTGTTAATAAAAGGGTTTTGTTTTTACATTCAGACAAGAGAAACTCCTTTGTAAAGCTTGACCGAAAAGTTCATTCCTTTTTAGGCTGCGCAGATCAGATCAGTTTTCTTGAAAGCGCACTGTCCTGCTGTACTGAATGTGCTTGGATACATACTAAAAATATGAGCCAGGCTAAACGAGAAAAAGCCTTTTTCCCCCAACTGCAAAGGCATTATTACGCCTTCGTGCTGTTGAGATGACGTTTGCTCCTTTGCCCAAAGAAACTTTGAGCTTTATTTTCAAGATACTCGTAGTATTATTATTATTCACTTGAACTTGTACTTGTTTCATGGGTAGATCTTTGTTTCGACCCAGAAGCATGTTTTTATTCGATTAAGCTCCTCTGACTCTGCATGCGATTCAAACGCTAGAATGTTGCGTATGTATGTTGGATAACAATTCGGTACTCTACAAATGGTGCAAAAATAAAGGTTTCTTTGCTGGAGAAGAGAGATAGATGGTAACCACGGGGATGTGGAAGTTGGGCGTATGTGGGTTGAAGTCGAGAAGTGGTCGTTCAATCCGGATGTGCACACTACTGCGGTTTTAGTAGAGGTTCTGTTCACTTTTCACTTTCACATCTGCCAACGGCTGTCACGTTTCTTATCAAAGCGATTCCTTCACACCTACCAATTTCATTCGGGCCGGTGCCTTATTTCTGTACATGTAGAAACAGCAAAGCCTGCATTCCGGACCAACCTTCTCCATTCAAAGGGTTGCATGTGACCGGATAAGTGCATACACCAAAGTCTGAAAGTCATAGCACCATCACTGTTTCAAGAACTTTTTTCCTCTTTCAGCAATTTTTTGCTTTTGTTCTGATATGAATTCTATTCACACTTTTAGGCACGAGGTATGTTTATACATTTATACGAACAACGATTGACAAGTCGACAAGCTTACTTGGTTGGAGTATATGTATAGAAAATCAGCTGCACACAAATGACATTTTGAGTCGTTCTATCTTAAGGTTAAACTACTCCGTACATTAAACGGTACAGGACGTGAATGCATGCTGTCACTAACGCTAAATTTAAGTCTTCGAGTCAGTTTGGATCTTTGTGCACGTGTAACACGCTTGCACTCTACTGAAATGTCAAAATAGTCTAAATAATCAAAGTGAGAAAGAAAGAATCTGCATCTGCATTGTGATTTTGTTCCTGTTTCTTTCAATACTTACATGCGTATTTAGACTCTGTACATTACTGTAGTTGGGACTTACAAGTTTATAAACGCGTATACCAGATCATTAATTTATGAGAGAATGTTAATGGTTGCAAAGTTACTCTTGCAGAATGACAATAATGAACAAATCTGGTGTGTTCGTCTCGAGGAGAAGAGAATTCTTGAAAGTACGTGAACCACGGTATATGTTGCTTGATTACGTCTGCTATTGACTGAATTGGTGATGCTATCAAATGTCAGAAAATCTAATCAGCAAGCAGGCAGTAATTGGGGATGAAAACGTCTGCATCAAAACATCAACACCACACACTCCAAGTTTGGTTACAGTCAACCAAAGAAAATCTCTCCCACACAGTCGGTCGGTGTACCATAATGTCGCGCAGTATCGTTACCATCGGTTGGGGAAGAAGTGCAGTAAAACACGCCACACGCACAATATCACGCACAGGCGAAGCTGTGAAGCTTATTTTTTGCTCACTTTGGACAAGGTTATATGTGTGAGCCACTTTTTTCTGTTCCATTAAAAATGATCCTGACCAGGAGCCGAAGTAACGGTGTCGTTCCTGTCTTCGATCTCCTGGCTTTCCTTGCTCGCTCCAATACGTAGTCCAGCTTCTATTATATTCTCAAAGTCATGTTTGTCCCCATTGATCCAGAATTTGTCTCGTATTGTTGTCCATCAAATTGTACACCAAGACTGATTGGATCTTGTGGAAAGTTTACCTTGGATTCTTCTATTATTTGTAACATGACGAATCTGGGAACATTGGCTTGTTTACCCGTTAAATAACTAAAAAAGTTCAACTTGAACCAAGTTTGTACTCGCTCACTCGAGGGTTATTGGATTG